GCCTGCTGGCCGAGATCGTGCTCGTGGACGATGCCAGCGAGAGAGGTGGGGCTGGGCCGGCCATTCCCATCCCAATTTCCCAAATTCCCATCCCAGGTTCTCAAATTCCCATCCCAGGTTCCCAAATTCCCATCCCAGGTTCCCAAATTCCCATCCCAGGTTCCCAAATTCCCATCCCAGGTTCCCAAATTCCCATCCCAAATTCCCATCCCAGATTCTCAAATTCCCGTCCCAGGTTCTCAAATTCCTGTCCCAGGTTCCCAAATTCCCATCCCAGGTTCCCAAATTCCCAACCCAGGTACTCAAATTCCCATCCCAGGTTCCCAAATTCCCGTCCCAAATTCTCAAATTCCCATCCCAGGTTCCCAAATTCCCATCCCAGGTTCCCAAATTCCCTTACCAAATTCCCATCCCAGGTTCCCAAATTCCCATCCCAAGTTCCCGAATTCCCATCCCAATTTCCCAAATTCCCGTCCCAATTTCCCAAATTCCCGTCCCAGGTTCTCAAATTCCCATCCCAGGTTCCCAAATTCCCGTCCCAGGTTCCCAAATTCCCATCCCAGGTTCCTAAATTCCCATCCCAAATTCCCAAATTCCCATCCCAGGTTCCTAAATTCCCATCCCAAGTTCCCGAATTCCCATCCCAAATTCCCAAATTCCCATCCCAGGTTCCCAAATTCCCATCCCAGAATGGATCCCAGAGGGGATCCTGCAGCACAGGGAGGGCTGGGAGTGCATTTCCCACCCAGCAGTGCTGGGATCCAGAAGGAGAGGGGGGAATGTTGCAGCAATGAGCAGCTGGGACTCGGTTTTTTCATGCAGGAAAAGCCGAATTTTTATTGCCTAATTCCTATTTTTACAGGATTAGCAGAAGGCACCGTGTTAGCATTACAGGGCATTTTGCATCTCCATCAAACCTCCCTATTTTTTTTTGTCACTTTTCCCATTTCCTTCACTGATTCCCATGGGATAGACTCCTTGTTTGTGCAGGTGGGAATGGTTCTGTTACCAGAATTATTGTGTTCCCTGCCTTTCATTCTCAGGATTTTTTTTTCCCCATGGGAAGTTACAAGCTGCTAGCTT